CTTTTGTAAGAATTACACAAAAGCCCCAAACCTTTACAAGATTACCAAACCAAGCCCAACATCTCAAAATACCAAAATTTAAAGACAAAACCCATAGAGAGGAGTAGGTTATCCCTACCTCAAATTCGGAGTCCCAAAGGAGAAGACGACAAAACCCAACGTGCTCCAAAACCCGAGATTTTCAGATTAAGATGAAGCCCTCGACGATCAACACATTTTTTACAAAGGCCAGAGGATAGGGAGACGCTCTAACTAGATCAAACCCTAGAGAGAAGGGAAATCCTAGAGAGAGAGGCTCTAAAAAGTGTTTTTAGAAAGTAAGAGAGAGAGAGTGAATGTAAAAAGTGATTCAAAAATGCCCAACTGCCAACTGATATACGACATTCCCGCTCGAGCGAAGAACACAACGCTCGAGCGTCAAGAACAAAAAAACTAAGTACGCTCGAGTGCAAGAAGGCCCGCTCGAGCGCCAAGACACAAGAATAAAGTACATCCGCTCGAGCGCGAAAACCAGTCTGCTCGAGCGTGGATTTCTCCCTTCTAGAACTTACACCAAAAAGTACTTCCCGCTCGAAAAAAGTACTACCCGCTCGAGCGCCAGAGCACCCGCTCAAGCGTAAAGAAACCCGCTCGAGCGTAAAAATCACACCTGCAGAAATTTTGCAGGGACACGAAATACTGGGAGTGTGTAGTCTCCGCTCGAGCGCAACAAGGCCCGCTCGAGCGGAACGACCAAAAACCTGGCAACAAGATTTTAGACCAAGGTTCAACCCACCTGTTCAAAACATGCCCAACACATCCTAAAACTCAAACAAATGGAATTAAAGGACGACAACAAGATAGATACAACTACCAACTCCACGGAATCGAGTCTGGAATACAACAGAACAGTAAAGGGACAACCGGGATCGCTATAACCTCCCCCCCTTAAAGAATTTCGTCCCCGAAATTAAATACAAGCTGTTCAAAAACAAGATTTTCTCAATTCCCAACATTATCACAATGCGAATTTTTACAACTCGACCCATTACCGGTCATCTCATCTCTTTTCAAGAGACAGTTTACAACATTTTCCACAACATGCATCATAATTATGCATTCCTTGAAATTCCACAAATTTCAATACTACATTCCACAATTCTATATCATATTCAGTATTCATGATATATTTCCATCTCTACAATACATCCAACATATGCAATGTTACATTAAACTTCCATTTTGAGGCAAGTTTCAAAATACTTCCATTAAATCAAAACATAAATCATGTTTTACAACCTAAGGTATATTCAATACTCTTAAGGTTCAACAATACAAAAAAATATACAATACATGCTGTAACAGCGCCCGCGGAGGGCCTCGTGCTACAGTTCGGACTCGATTTGTGTCACGGTTCTTAATCTGAACCAAAGAGTCCAAATCTGGCAAATCGTTTTGAGAAACAGATTTTTGAAAAAGTAGTGCCAAACATGGACTGCTTTGCCAGATACAGAGTCGCCACCTAAATATTTTAAAATGTAACTCAAGCACCACTCTCAAGTGTTCCTCGTGCTCCTCCTCTGAAGGCGAATAGATAAGGATGTCGTCCACGAAAACGACTACAAATCGATCCAAGAATTCCCGGAAGATCCGGTTCATCAAGTCCATAAAGACTGCCGGTGCATTGGTAAGTCCGAATGGCATCACCAGAAACTCATA